GCATAACCACTAGTTACAATTAAAAGTGAAGAGACTAGACTTAGATTTTAGTGAAAGTGCAGAGATAAAGATGACAACGAGTAGAACAAGATCGTCGCACCCTAGTCCTATTTTCATTGCTAGGCCTTCACTTCGACCTGACCCTTCTACAACTCTCCCTCGCCTCTATCCCACCCCTAACTAGCAAATGTAACCCCACCTCGACCCTACCCAACCCACAATGCAATAAATTTTTTTAATAATAATAGGGCGAATTACACTAACAGTCACTGTAGTTTGAGACTTATGTCACTTTGGTTCCTTATTTTTCAATTGTAATATATTTGACCATAAATTTTAAACCTTATTTCAAATAGGGAACAATCAAAGGTGTTTCTATTGCAAAAAATTCATTTCAAAGGCAAAGTCGTCACACAATTTATTTTGTGTTGATTAATTTGTATGTTGGTTGAATTGTAGCAGTTTTTTTTTTTTAATGAATAATACTAAAACTTTTTTGGTTATAAAGTTTTGTTTGGTTTGGTTTTTAGAATCTATTCTCAATTTTTTTTTCTAATATAATTTTATCTTTTGGGAGGGTAGAAATAATTTTTTAAAATATTTTTTTTCATTAAATTAGTTTCAAGTTTTCCAAAAGTCAAACATACCAACAATTTCGATATCATTATTAAACTAATCCATTAAATCAAAAAATCCAAAACTAAAAACATTTCATATATTAAACATATCGATTACACATTAAAAGCCTACTAATCATCCATTACATGATAACCATAAAAAAATATCTATTACATTGTAACCATAAAAGATATCAACAAAAAACAACTATCCATTACGTGATCATCATCCAAACACATACTTAAAATTAATTTGACAAAAAAATAAAATGTAAAAAATTTATCATTTTTATATAATTTTATTTTTAGAGGGTATAAATAATTTTTAATAATTCAAAAATAATTTTTTGACATTTATTTTTGTCAAATTAATTTATATTTTATCAAATTAACGAATTTGCCCTTGAAATGGAGTACTAATATATTCAATCGTCCTTATTCGAAACGAGATTCAAAATTTAAGATCAAAGTATCACAATTAAAAGGTTAGGGATTAAAATGACACAAATATCAAACTATATGGATCATTAGTTTAATTTGTCCATAATAATATTGAAACTCAGAAATTAAAAGGGCAAATTACATATACCCCTCGAGGTTTGGCTAAATTACAGATACCCCTGAGGTTTCGAAAATTACATCCCGCCCCCTGAGGTTTGTATTTTCATAACAATTTGCCCCCTGAGGTTTATATTTCATAACAAATTACCCCCTAATTTCTTATGCAAATATAGCATTCAGGGGAGAATTCGTAATTTCTCAAACCTCAGGGGGGCATCTGTAATTTAGCCAAACCTCGAGGGGTGTATATGTAATTTGCCCATGATTTTAAAGGTCTTATTTAATAAAAAAACTTAATAATATAGTATGCACATTTTACACATAATATTATTATTTTATCTATGGAATTAGGTAGGATATAAATAAAAGGCTAAATTACACTGACATCTCCTGAGCTTTATGTTTATTACAGTTTTTCTTTACTTTTTGGAAATTACATCCCCTCTCTTGAGGTTTAAAGTTTCATTACAGATTCTCCCCTCAGCAATTTAATTTTTTTAAATAGCAATTTTGCCCTCACTGAATAAATTACATTGATACCCCTCACATTTTAGAAATTACAATCCCCTCCTTAAGTTTAAAGTAGTATTACCAATTGCCCCCTCGGTTAGTATTAGTTAGAAAAAAAATTCATTGAAAAAAAAATTAATTGGAAAAAAAATTATTTGGAAAAAAAATTTGTTAGTAAAATTTTAAATTTCTGTTCAAAAACCAACGTAAGTTCATTTTCTGAATTTACATTTTTTTCTCAAATTTACAAACTGAGACAACCATTGATAAACCAAAAAAATTATCATACAAGTTTTTATGACAGTTTTTTAAATTTTTATAAATATAAATTGAAAACTGAAAACGAAATGGTTACCAAACAGGATTCAGATGATAAAAATGTTGTAAAATTAACAAATAATTAAATAAGTTACCAACGTAAGAAATGACTTATCAAAAGATTTTTAAGCTATGTATGGTTTGATTTTTAGAATTTTTTTTAAAATTAAAAATTAATTTGGTTAAGAAATAAAAAATAAAAAATAATTATCATTTTTATGTAATTTTTTATCTTTCGAGTGGTTAGAAATAATTTTTTAAAAATTAAATTGAAACAGCCATATATATATATACATATAACATGCCTAAAAGTTAAAATGATAATTATTTTTTACCCTTAAATGATAATTGTTTTTTACTTTTTTATTTCTTAACCAAATTAATTTTTAATTTTTAAAAAAAATTAAAAATCAAACCATACATAGCCTAAGAATCTTTTAATAAGTTATTTCTTACATTGGTAATTTATTTAATTATTTGTTAATTTTACAACATTTTTACCATCTGAGGCTTGTTTGATAACCATTTCGTTTTCAATTTTCAATTTATATTTACAAAAATTTTAAAAAATATCATAAAAACTTGTTTGATAAATTTTTTAGTTTATAAATAGTTGTCTCAGTTTGTAAATTTGAGAAAAAAATATAAATTTAAATTAACTAATTTACGTTAGTTTTTAAACAAAAATTTAAAAATTTTACTAACAAAAAAAGTTTTTAATTAATTTTTTTTTTTCCAATTAATACTAACCAAGGGAGCAATTGGTTATACTATTTTAAACTTTATGGAGGGAATTGTAATTTCTAAAATGTGAGGGGTGTCAATGTAATTTACCCAGTGAAGGCAAAATTGGTATTTAAAAAAATTAAATTGCTGAGGGAGGAATCTGTAATAAAACTTTAAACTTCAGGGGAGAGATGTAATTTCTAAAAAATGAAGAGAGAAACTTTAATAAACATAAATCTCAAGAAATGCCAGTATAATTTATCTTAAATATAAAAAAAAATATTCTTTCGCGCCTTCCACTCGAACCCAATCAAATTGTTTAAAAGTTTTTTTAAATTCAATCCTACCCTATTCCAATTTGATTGAAGAGAGAGTCAACTATTTTGCCATAAATGCAATTTATCCAAGTTTTTTTTTTTATTCTAAACAAATAAAATTAGACGGGAATATTCCGACAGAAATCTCCAAGTCGCACTTTCAATTTCCATTTTAACGTATATATGAAATGGCTTTCCATGTTTTTGATGCCCATCCTTTTTTGTGCATGTTCAAGAATTTTGATTACAACATAAAACAACCACAGTTTCTCAGATCAGTAAAATATTCTCCTTTCTCTAGATTTCCCAGAATAACCAAACCAATTGGCTTTCAGCAGTGGTACATAGTGAGGGTGAACAGCGGATATATTGATCTATCAAAATTGACCGAACAGAATTGATCCGTTGCATCTTAAACGAATGCGTGATGACGAACGGACGGTTGCAGATTGATTTTCTCCAATTCCCCAATCTTGAGGACGGATGACGAATTTGAGATTCCTTTGGTCGCAACCGAACCGCCAAACTGCGACCATCCCTAGTAATTTATCAGACTTTGTGTTTTCAGTTTGTTTAAATATTCTGTTTGTGTTTTCAATTAAAAAAGAGTTTAAATATTCTGTTAAAAAAAAATTTTCAACTTGAATATCTTTTTTGAATTGAAAAAAATAAATGTATTATTTATCTATATTTTTTAGTTTTTAAATCTATCTCTAAAAATAATAAATAAAAAATATGATATATGCTAGTTGGTTTTTGTTTTCAAAAACAGATATAGATGTAACAATACAGAGACATACAATCTCTACTACTGCTTTGTTCATGGTTTTGGTGGTTTGAATTGTTTTTATATTTTAAGAACCACAGATTGTAATACTTTATGTGGATGAGGCATGCTGTGATTGTAGCATGTGGATGAGATATGCAGTAATTATGATATTCTAAAGTTTCAAACTTTCTTACTTTGGATGAGGCATATAATGATTCTAATATTTTTTTAAGTCATTGACTGTAGTACTTTCTTCTCTCTTTTTTTTGAGAAAATGCACAAGTTGAATTATGTTGAAAATTTATAAAATTTTAAACCGTCAAACCGATTCGCATCCATCCGCCAAACCGCCAATCCGCTCAATCCACATTCGCCAGATTGACGGACGGATGCGGATTAATTTTCTCCAATCTTCCAATCTGACAGACGGATGGCAGATTGGAGGTTCCGTAACCGCAACCTACACGCGCCCACCCCTAATACATAATACTAGTAGAGCTGCTTTAAAAGAAGTTTTACTGAGTTGACACTACATTTTTAAAAAATAAACAAAAAAAAAAAAGTTAAAAGACAAAACAAGAAAAAGAAAAAGACAATTTAGACCTTGTTTGGAAACATATTTTTTTAGTAATTTTTTGACTAAAATATAATTAAAAAAAACTAATATGTTTGAGATAACTTTTTGACTTTTTACGAAAAGATATGTAAAAAAATAAAAAGAAAATAGAATCTTTAAATTTTTAGGATGAATTATTAACTTTTTAATTTTTTTAATAATTTTTTAATTTTTTAACTAAAATAAACACTTACCAAACGAGACCTTAATACTCATTTAGAGCTCTTTTTACCAGTGTAAACCATCTTTGATTGGCTTTTCAACTTGCTGTCCTTTTATCCAAGCCCATCAAGATATCACGCACTCGGCACGTGACTATTACACTCGTCCTTATAATTATGAATATAAGTTAATTTTTTATTTATAAATTAAGTTTTTCCTGCTCCACTAAAAGAATAAGCTGATTTTTGACTTACAAAAAATTATAAACTGCATTATTAAGCTAAATCAAACACATCAAAATAACTTAAATTAAATTAAAAATTAAAATAAACTTAAAAAAACTGTATCAAACAGGGCATAATCACATTTGTAGCAATCTATATCGTTTATTCTGGTATTGGACCTTCCCTTGTCACTATCCACCTGTCACCAAACCCCCATTTTCTCTCTCGTCCCTCTCTCTCTCTCCATGTTACTGTCTCGATATCTCTGAGACTCTCCTCTCAAACCCTATCTCCCACCACCACCTCTCTGATGGCCTCCGACGACCACGACCACCGCCGCCACCACAACAACCACCGCCACCACTTCGACCTCAACGAAAACGGCGACACCACCACCACCAACAACCACCATGTCCAACCCAACAAAAAGCCAAAGCTCTCTCTCATCTCCGACGCCGACCTCCGATCCGAATTCGCTCACCACGACTCCTCCGTCGCACGAATCAACAACGGCAGCTTCGGATCGTGTCCAGCCTCAATCATCGCCGCACAGCAACAATGGCAGCTCAAGTTCCTCCAACAACCCGACGATTTCTACTTCAACAAGCTCAAACCCTCGATCCTCAAAACTCGAACCCTAATCAAGGACCTAATCAACGCCGACGATGTGGAGGAAGTCTCGATCGTCGACAACGCCACCACCGCCGCCGCCATCGTCCTCCAGCAGACCAGCTGGGCCTTCGCCGAGGGCAAATTCGACGCCGGCGACACCGCCGTCATGCTTCACTACGCCTACGGAGCCGTCAAGAAGTCGGTTCAGGCCTACGTGACCCGCGCTGGAGGCCGAGTCATCGAGGTCCAATTACCTTTCCCTGTGAACTCTAATGATGAAATTATTTGTGAATTTCGTAAAGCCCTAGAGAAAGGAAAATCGGATGGTCATAAAGTTAGATTAGCTGTTATAGATCATATTACTTCTATGCCTTGTGTTGTGATTCCTGTTAAAGAATTGGTTAAGATTTGTAGAGATGAAGGTGTTGATCAAATTTTTGTTGATGCCGCGCACTCAATTGGGTCTACTGAAGTAGATATGAAGGAAATAGGGGCTGATTTTTATACTAGTAATCTGCATAAATGGTTTTTTTGTCCACCTTCTGTTGCGTTTTTGTACTGTCGAAAATCGGATAAGGCTTTGGCTTTGCATCATCCTGTTGTTTCGCATGAATATGGGAATGGGTTGGCAATCGAGAGTTCGTGGATTGGGACGAGGGATTATAGCGCCCAGCTCGTAGTTCCAGAGGTGGTGGAGTTTTTGGATAGATTTGAAGGTGGGATTGAGGGGATAAGGAAGAGGAATCATGAGAAGGTTGTTGAGATGGGTGAAATGTTGGCAAAAGCATGGGGGACAAATCTTGGGTCCCCACCGGAGATGTGTTCGAGCATGGTTATGGTTGGGTTGCCAGCTTGTTTTGGGATTTCGAGTGATTTGGATGCATTGAAGTTCAGAACCCATTTGAGGGATTGTTTTGGGGTTGAAGTGCCAATATATTATAGAGCACCGAAAGATGGGGAGGTTAATCCAATAACGGGGTATGCACGGATATCTCATCAAGTTTACAACATAATCGATGATTATTACAAGTTCAGGGATGCTGTTAACAATCTCGTTAACAATGGGGTTACTTGTGCCAGTCTCTCGGATTGAAAAGGTATGGTTTTCATTCATAGAAGTGGTTTAAATGCTATATATGCTATAGAAGACATTTACAATTGCTTGTTACTTTTCATCCACTTGTTGGGCAACAAAGTTGAATTGATAGCTTGTCAGCAGCCGATGTACAAATTCCCCTTTGGAATTACTTTGTCTTTTAGTGCTTGTGACTACAAATGATATTGTCGCTTTTGAAAGATGCTAGCTTTAATTTAATAAATTTTCCAGAGATTAGCTGCTTTTAAAGTCAACTCATTATTCCCTAGGCAATCATTTGTGAATTTAATAGTTGGCCTATCATCCTTATTGTAAGTTTTTCGATGGATTTTTGCTAATTCCTTGAAAATTCTACTTGTGTTCAAGACATTGATTCAATTATTTCTGTGTGCCTTCTTTCCTAAACCTTGGCCTAATGGTTCAAAATGTGCTTTATACAAAATGCTATCTATCGAAATAGTACATCTAAACTGACATTTTAAAACATATTACTCAAAATAATGTTGTAAGGCACATAAATAATTAGCAGACTGAATCTCTAGCATCGTTGTCTTATGAATCATGACCATCAATAACTACCCATTTTTCTTCCTGAGGCTGTAGGAGAACTATCTTTGCATAAAAATCATTTGTTGAAAAAATTGAGGATACCCATCATCACTCAGTGATATTCAGTTGTCACAAATTTGCATTCACAGCTCTCTAATATACTTTAAACTCGTTGTTTTACAACCTGGTGAAGTAAATTGTGGTTATGAAGGGAAGAAATATGAGTTGCCTATAGCATGTACGATGTTTCCATATAAAGGTACTAGTACATTTTTAAGAAACGGAATGGACTCTATGTTTGGAAGCACCATAATCTGCCGAAAAGGTTGTGATTAAGGGGCAAAGTTTGGGAATTGATGTTTCTTCCCTGCCTAAAATAGTTAGGGTTATTGAGAAATGCATGCTGTGTTGTTTCACATACATAAATTAACACCTTTTCCCCACCCAATTGTTAGTATTCATTCTTATATTACTTTTTTGGGGGTTAAGATGTCATTATTCTTTTTAGTGTGGAGACTTTCATGCTCTTTTCACATTTGAAAAAAGCGTATCATAGAATTCTTAGTTATTGTTGCCTTTGAGTAGTAACGGTTTATGGTTCATTGAAAAAAAAAATTAAAATGTCTCCTTTTATTGTGTTTTAGATCCCACTTTTTTGAGAAACTGGGTTGGAAATGTCAGCTTCATTTACTTCAGTATGTGTAGATTCTGACTATTCGCTGAACCATTTTCATAATCTCTAGGATGAGCAGCTTCATCTCTTACCATAAGCATTTTTTTTCCCCTCCTGTTTCCACTGACAGCATAACATGTAAAAGTTCTAAATTGTGGTTTTAAGTAGTGGCAATGAAACATGATATATGGATAATAAAGGATGAAACAAAAACGAAATCTCAAAATATTGGGCTGAAATATATTGGTGAGGTATTGGAAAATATTGGCAATGTATTGAAAAATGGTGGTAAAATAAAGGGAAAAAAATTCAAACATATGTAAAATACTTAAAATAAGAAAAAATAAATATTGGATGTCAGAGATATCTGAAATATTGGGCTATTGCCCGCACCGAATAAGATAACTTTAGTTGGTTTAGGATTCATGATGATCTGGAACATTGGTTCCAGTATGTCAGAAACTTTTATAAACTTAATGAAAAAATTGAATGATTAAAAAGTTCAAATAATGGCCACAGAGAAAAATAGTGGCCAATATATCGGTTTGGTTGGGAAAGTCTGAAATTATGAAAAATTTTGTTCTTTAATCCCTTTGTATAAATGATTCATTTGTCGTGCATGCCTATGACATGGTTTTGATCAATCTCTTGTGTATGACTTGTCATTCGAATTATGGTTAAGCTTAGGTTTAATATTTAAAATATTTTTCCAAGTCTTCAGATTAAGCTTCAAGAATCCTGGTCTAACATCCCTGTCTAGTTTAAAATTTCAATTAGATGGTGTGACAAGAAACAAATGAATTTAGGATACCATCTATACTATTATATATGTGAGCAGTAACTTGTCTTCTATACTATTATATATGTGAGTACTGACTTGATGTCCAAGAGTGTGATGGCTTCTCCGTCTGCCACATGATAAATTTTTCTATCCTAAATTATAAAAAAAAAATTATTCAAAGGTGTGAACCCAAGACCTTGGATTTCGTTAAGAATACTTTTATTACTTAGACAACATACATATTATGATATTGGTTTCTTTATTATTTATTTTTATGCTTACTTATTTGAATTGCACATATATCGCGTGTACCACCCGTTAGCTAGAACAAAGGTTAGGCTCAGGACTCCCGTCTGGATTCAGTTGTTAAAAATTTGTCTTAATTTTTCTGGTGATTTTAGTACCACCTGTTGGCAGTTGTCCCTGTGAGTGTGTGTGTGTGCACGCCCGTGCATACATGTGTTTGCTTGGGTAGGTAGGGAAAGTTTTGTCTTAGGATAGACCTATGGTAGCTTAAATAGCACTTCTTTTACATGAGTAAGAAGTATATAAACTCTTATTGCTTATGTCTTGCAATGAAAATAACTAGGAAATTCCCTCAGGTTCTATATATTAGTTGCTTGGTCTAGAAATACTTGACATGTGTTCATAGAAAGCATAGAGGGATACCGAGACAATTTGTGAGAAGTTGATAAATTTTGAAAGTTATGCGCGAAGTTGGCATATTGTACTTAGTAATGATTTTCTTTTGACGTTAATTTCCTCTTCGTTTGTAGTTCAGTGGGAGATTGTACGAGCACCTGATGAATAAAACCCATGCTTCCCAAGTTGACTATTATGCTTCTGGACCACAGGGGGAAGCAGTGGACAAAACCAACTACAAAATTGAAACATGTCTGCAAAACTAAAGGAGGTGTGTTCTAAAAGCTTTTGAAGAAACAAATTCCTTGTGAAATTGTCAAATTGTCAATCCGGGAATATTCTGTTGTTAATGGTTTGCTAATCTGACTTTCCTTGCTTTTTTTATTTTTTCAATTACAATTTGCCACCAACCGTGAATTAGAACTTATCTGTTCAGACTGTACCTGACAGAATCGACATCGACAATGCTGTTGTTTGTTGTCACTCTGCATAAGTTCCATCATCTTGGTTGTTAATAAATAAATAAATTTTCCATCACTTCCAGTCTTGTGCAAAGTAGTTTTCATAGCTCTTTTTTTTCTTTTCTTTTTTCAAATTTATTTTTTATTTACAGGTGGGCCATGAATGATATACCTAGGATCGAATACTGCATATGTTCAGGAATGTTATACAAGTAGCAATATATTTATCTTTTTTTTTTAATTATCACCAAAAGTCAATTATGTTTTTGGTAAATTACACTAACCTTCTTGAGATTTCGAGAAAATGCAGTAAGTTTTACAATTTTGATATAATGACCTTGAACTTTTTTGAGATTTTAATTCATATAACACTTTGTCTCATATTAGTTATATGGATGAAAAAATGATATTGTCATTTTTTTACAAGAAAATGTATATTTTATGTTATTTATTTTTGTATTTATTTTTTACCAGATAGATTAGTGTTGGTTCATTTAACTTTACTAAAAGGAAGGTTAGTATAATTATATCAAAATTGTAAAATTTATTATATTTTTTTCAAATTAGTATAATTTAACCTTTATATTTTTATCTCTTAATTGTCCCAATAATTTATAGTCTTAAATTTTTTTAGATTAAAAAAAAGAACTTGATTAGGTAATCAGAAAATTCAAATAATTCATAGAGGATTGATAAAATTTTCACATACAGATGTTAGAAAAAATAAAATAAAACTTGGACTTTACTTATCAGTCTTATATCTTTTATTTACATTTATCTCTTATTATATATATATATATATATATTGTGAAAAAACGAGTAAAATACATTGGTGTAATTGAAACATTCTCTGGAAGCTTTGTTTGTATAAGTTGATTATACACATAATTTATAGATTCAAATCTATAGCTTAAAAAGGCTGTTTGGTGCAGTTTTTAACAGTTGGAAGTTGATAATTTAAAAAATGATAGTTACAACACCTCTCTTCCTATTTTTCACTAATCAATTTTTAATTTATTTTTCACAGTAAAAGTTCACCGTTTCAGTGAATGAGAAATTTTACCGAGGCAATAAGTGAAATTATAAAATTCATCATTTTAGAACACTCAATTTGAATTTTTTATATATCAATTTGAAATTATAGACTTAATTTTTGTAATTGATCCTCAAATTTATAATTTATAATTTTTTAATAGAAATTTCTCAATGTTTGGTCAGTGAAATTTTCATCGTGCAAAAAGTTAGCAAAATTTTATTGTGTTTTCACTTACTTTCTCAGTGAAATTTCATGATTTTTTTTTAAGATTTTATTTTATTCATAGATCTTATTTGATAAATTTTGGTGAAATGATTATAAAAATGTAAATTTGGAAAAAAAAATAAAAATTAAAAGTTATTAAATTTTAAATTTTTCAATTTAGTTAAAAAGTGAAAAAAGATATTGTTTTTTTTTTTGAGTACACTGGAAAATAAAAGAGAAACAAGAGGACTAGGCCTCATTACTCCCATCCAGATACAACAAATCCGCAACTAACGCATGGCGGATTTCGTTTGGAGGTTCATTCACAATGAGCAGCTCAAGAGGTTGATTAGCTCCAAGTTTAGCTAGATTATCTGCACAAATGTTGCCTCCTCTGCGGACATGTTGGACTGTACACTTGCAGCCCCTTAAGATGATCCTTGAATCCTCCACAATGCCACGGAAAGGGCATTTAGCACCTGGTTCTTCATTTAGCAGCTGCACCACTTGTTTTGCATTTGTTTCAATGATAACCTTGTTTATTCCTCGCTGTAATATGATCATGAGCCCTTTATACACTACCCAAAGCTTCGCCTCCAAGTTGATGCATCTCTCCATTCTGCCATAATATCCACTAATGCAAACTCCTTTCTTATCCCGAAACAGCCCGCCGAATCCTCCATTGTTGTTCTTACCTTTTAGACTTCCGTCTGTGTTAAGTTTGATTCTTCCTATAGGTGGACACAACCACAAAGATGAGCTTTTAGGCTGTAAAGGTGTAGTAACAGCAGATTCAAAGGCTTTTTTAACTTCTTTAGTATATTCAAAAATAAGCTTAACAGATGCATGGCAGTTTGGTTGTTTGTTTTCAAAAATCAATTTATTTCTATTTTTCCAAATAATCCATAGAGTGATAGCAAAAAACTGAGGCTGGGAATGCTTCCCTTTCACATTCAAAGTTAACCAGACATCAAAAGGGATAACACTCATTCTCAAATACCAAGCTTGATCAAAAACCTATGTCCAAATATTCATGGCATTAGGACAGAGCCGTAATAAATTGTCTAAATCCTCCACAGTTTCACAGCTGGGGCAATTGGGATTGTCACTGTAACCCCTCGTGTGCCTCATTTTATTTGTCAGCACTTTCCCAAGCAAAATAAGCCACAAAAAGCTCTTAATCTTTGGAGGAAGCTTGAGTTGCCAAAGCCAAACCCAATTATTCTCCAAGGATTGAGAATGCATAGTAAGATCATATGCACTAGATGTAGAAAAATCTCCATCAGGAGATTTTCTCCATCTCGGTTTTATCCCTACCACCATTATTCCTACCACCATTATTTCTAAGGGGCTGAATTTTCAGTATCTCAGAGATAATGGGCATAGGAAAAGTGTTATAGATGTGAGTTAAATCCCACTCCCCATTATCAACCACAAGGGAGTCCACAGTGGTATCCTCCATCTCAATGACTTGCCTCGTGTTGGTAGCAGTAGCCTCAAACAAGGCCCTTTCACCACACCACCAGTCTTTCCAAACTCTCACCTGAAAGCCCCAACCAATGATCCAATAAACCCCCTTAATAAGGAGATTTCTGATATTCAGGATACCTTTCCAGATATGTGATGAAACTTTACTCTTCCTCTTACTGAAGAAAGGGTTGATTACCCAGGTATTTATTTCTCAGGACCTCTAACTAGAGACCCTCTTCCTCATTCAACAGTTTCCAGCCAAGCTTGGATAGTAAGGCTAGATTTTGATCCCTAGCCCTTTTAATCCCAAGGCCACCCTCCTTTTTCTTATGACACACCTGTTGCCAGTTGACTAAGTGCACTTTTTCCCTCTCCAAGGAATCACCCCAGAGAAAATTATGATTGAGTTTATCAATCTCATCACAAACGTTACAGGGAAGCTCCAAAGCCTGCATGGTATAATCTAGGATGGCATTGGTCATTGATTGAATCAGTGTTGCCCTTACAGCTAGAGATAGCACACTAATTTTCCACCCAGCAAACTTTTGTTGCATTCTTTCAAGAATAGGAGTAAAGTGGTGTTTGTTAACTCTGGAGTGCAGAAGGGGGACTCCAAGATACTTACCTAGATTCTGAGTTAAAACAATACCACATATATGACTCAAGTCTTTAGCCTTTCTCCTGTCAACATTTGGGGAAACAAAGAGCTTAGATTTGGTGAGATTAACTTTCAGCCCAGAGAGCATACTAAATTCATTTAGCACTTCAAGAATGGTTTGACAATTCACTATATCAGCTTTGGCAAAGAGCATCAAGTCATCAACAAAAAATAGGTGAGAGATATTAGGGCCTTTCTTAGATAAGGGTAAACCCCTCGAGTCCTTAGCCTCCACTTTGTGATTGATCATATTTGAGAGCCTCTTCATACATAAAACAAAGAGGTAAGGAGAGAGAGGGTCTCCTTGCCGAAGTCCCGTACTAGGTTTAAATTCTTCCAGCGGTTCTCCATTCCAAAGAATTGAAGTACTTAAGTTGGTAACACAATTCATCACCAACTCAATAAACTTTCAATTGAATTTGAATTCGAAGAGAGTTTGTTCAAGAAATTCCCAGGAAATGTTGTCATAGGCTTTTTCCAAATCAATCTTAAATATCCTGTAGCCTGCTTTGCCTTTCAATTTCCTTACAGTGTGGGGGCATTTTCATCCAGCGCATTTTTTGAGGACCTAAACTAGTATTGAAAAGTTTGTTGTCCTTATTCTTCTACAAACTTAGAACAAGGGAGTTAGAAAACAAAAATTCCCTATTTTTACCAATAAACTATAAATAAAAGTTGACTAGAGCATTAGCTTAATGATTGTGTAACATATTTTGTGGTGTGAGATTTTCGATTCAACTCTTATAAAGGAGTTGATACTTTTTATGATAGTTGATTTATTTCTCTTTTATTATGCGATTATTAGTGGTTGTTGGCCTAGTAAATAAAATAAGTATAACCAACTTCATAGGTTCTGTGTACATATTTTTGTGGTAGAGTATTAATGAGCTTTTTTAAAAAAGAAAGACATGCCTCCATCCAGGGACGGAACTAGAAGAAGACTATGGGGGTCATGGCCCCCATTGTTTCTATGAAAATTATTGTTTGCCATAAAAATTTAAAAATATATATCATTTTATACATAAAATAGCCCCTCAATATAAAAAAATATATGTCATTCTTCTTCTATCTTGAATTCTCTTTCTATTTTGTACCAAAAAAACTTCATCTTATTAGAAATTGCTTCTATGGTACTTAATTTTTTTTTATGTACATATAATTTATATATCATATTATACATATATCACTACAACAAAATACACAAACGGCGACTAAAAAAAAAAAATTCGTCGCTGAAAGTGCATGAAATGGCGACTAAAATTGAATTAGTCGCCGAACATAACGGTTTTACCGACTAAAAGAGTTTAGTCGCCGAAAAGCAGGGTTTTAGCGACTAAAAGGAAGTATAGTCGCCGAATATAGGGTTTTTAGCGACTAAAGTTTGTTTAGTAGCCAAAAGTTACGGTTTTTGGCGACTAAAATAATTTAGTAGCAAAAAGTTATGGTTTTGGCGACAAAAAACAGGTTTAGTCGCTGATTATAGCAGTTTTGCAGACTAAAAACAATTTAGTCACTGAAAGTGACGTTTTTTGGCTACAAAAAAAAAATTAATAGCTAAAGGTCAAGAATTGCCGACTAAAATGCATTTTAGTCGCCCAAAGTAGAGGTTTTGGCGACCAAAATTGAGTTTAGTCGCCAAATGTGCTAGCCTTAGGCGAGTTGTCACTGTTTTAGCGACAGAAAAGAAATTAGTAGCCAAAAAATAGAGTATT